AGCAGACTTGCTGGAGACCACAGTGTGTGAATGAAAGAATTTAATGCGTTCTCCTGGGTATTAATATGTATGTTCACTTTTGGGAAGGCATGGGTGCTAAAATTTCCTTTAGAGGAACTTACACACTAGGGGTGAATAGAAATTACTAAATCAATGTCTCTTAAGGACAGCTGAGAAGACTGTAGATTAGACCATGTAAGTGAGATATCATGGAGAAAACCAGCTGGATTTGGAGAGCCTGCTGCCTGGTTTCATCTGTTATGTGAGTGCAGTCCAGACAAGGACCCTTGCAGGGTTTTGCTCAAGCCTTATTCGTATCCCAGATAGTTTTTAAATCACACACTGTAACAAAACAGTGCCGTGGCATTTGAATGATTTTGTCTTTTTGGCTATGTGGTAATTATAACTGCTGTGTCTGCATTTTGGTAGCACTCAGAGACTACAGCCAAAGATCAGAACGTGACGCACTTCACGTCCATAGGATGGAGACAGTTGTTTCTGCAGTGACCTTATGGCAGGGAAGGGTAAGAGCTTGGTACAGCAGCAAGGTGAGGAGCCTAGCTGGTCTTACTTGTTTTGTTCATAAGCTGGGAAGGTCTGACTAGAATCAACCTGAAGGTTTGCCAGAAGATCACCAGCGTGTTGCTTGAAACAGCTGACAGCAGCGTGGGCTGGGCAGCCTGGCACCTGCATCGGCACTGGCATCGCTTTCCCTCCGTGTGCCAGCAGGGACAGTGCCCATGAGAGCTCCCAAACACTTCTGAAATCAGACAGGTAAGCCTATCCTTCAAGTACTCCACATTAGATGAGCCCCTGGAGGTAGTGGGGGACAAGGTGGACCTTTGTCCCTTGTTGTCCGCTCAGGCGCTTTGGATATGTGTCATTTTATGTTGCATTCAGAAAAAAATCTTGGTACTTTAGGCTGTTTGGTTAGTAACTGATGGCACCTCTAGGTGAATCTGTAGACACGAAGTCTACAGTGATCATCTACTTGTTTTGCTTGTAAAAGGTAAAACAAGAGCCAGCATTTGTCAAGTTATCACCTGGGCATATCTCATCCTCTGGCTCTCTGGAGACAGAAGAGTTTAGCTACTCATCCTAAGTTTGATGACGAACTAGAAACCCTGGAGACTCAAGCAGGTCCTACTGATACCACTGGAACAGCCGTAAATAGGGTGATAGTGCTAGCAAAATCCCGATGCACGGCAGCATTTCTTGGTCAGCTCGGGGCAATAAGAAATGCTGGGCTGAGGGTTTCAGGTGGGATTCAGGTAGTTAATATGGTCCTAACTGAGAAAGTACTGTCAGGATTTTTCTGCTTATATACTTCTTTTCCATGGCATGTGTGCGTGTGTGTATATATATATATATCCTTTTGGCCAGAATTACATTATTTGTCCTCATTTACAGATGTATTATTGCTTTGAAGTGTCAGCATGAACTCTGTGATATGGGGACAAGATAGCATGGCTACTTCATGAGAAGATTTGTCCAGAACAGGTCCCAAGGCACTTTCCCAACAAATAAACTCCTGCAGTGATAACCTGATTAATTATTAAACATGGCAATGGAACCATTGCATCGTTAGTCCCTCAGAAGATCCTAATACCTAACTACTGTCCAGAGCGAATTTTCTGAACAATAATTTAATACACAGCACAGATAAACTGTGTACGTAGATTGAATACAAATGATGTCTCAATGGCATGAATTATGGCCTTATGCTGAGCATCACTATGGCAACTAATGACATCACCGCAGGCTTCAACCTGCACAAAACCCAACTTCTGAGGGTCTCTATTTGTTGGCGTGGATCTTTTCAGGGCTTTTGGGGGTATGAATATGTAAGCACCACAGTGTTGTCAAGAGTTTCCTATGTATGTTTACTGTCATTTGAAACATTTATTCCCTTTGTGGTTGATGTTGTTCTTATGAAGGAAACCTAATGAAAATTACTGTTTGTATTTGGTTAGTAACATTTGTTGATAACATACGGTCTGGGAATGCTTCAGCAAATAAGAGCTTTTTAATAGTAAACAGAGATATGAGTTCTATAAAGCAGATGCTGTCAAAATACACTTTTTCCTCTTACCAAAGCAAGATTATCTTCCTCCTTTCCCTGCTGGTTACAATGCAGTTTTTTTAAAAGAGAAAACATAACCTGTGACCTGAAGCTGCAGTTAGAAAATAAGGTTGTTTCTTGGTTCTTGTGTTTAAAACATTTATTAGGTAGCTGATGGATCACACATGAAAAAGATGTAATATTGGGGATCTGGCTGGACCTGTAGTGCTGTAGATAATTTATCCCAACTCCCTGCTCCCTGACACCGGTGGCAGTTTGATGCAGCATCATAAAAGATGAAACATGTGGAACAGGGACACCAGGAGAGAAAACTTCAGAGCAAAGCTGACAAAGAAACGGAGTTCATTAATCAGTTCTACGTTGAACACGCTCAGCTGCTGAGCTCAGTCGGACAAGGTTTGCTCAGAGGAGAGCAAAGTGTAAACCCATACTCCTTGGGCACAGGAAGGAGTAAATTATTTTTCCCAATAACTTTCCAAATGCAAGACCTGCTGTTTGGTATTTATGTTTGAAGAACATGTAGTCACTGGACTGTGTGTCCCCTGAGCCTTTCACCAGTCATTTCAAGAGAACTGCTCTTCCTCAGCAGAGGATCTAGAGTGAGAACAGTGTAAAATGAGAAAGTGTCATTAATAGAGTGAGGGTGAATAGAAGTAGTTGGTGAGATACAGTATAGTCTCTCATCTGACGCAGTATTCTAGGTTGCAGTGTGTGTTCCATCCCGTCACTTGGACGTGTTGCTTATGGCACACTTCTGGTTTCTTCTAGTTTACAGAATGCACCTTGTCTGTGATTATTAAGCTTGCTTGGACACTTTGCATGAGGTTAGAAATGTAATGAATTTTCAGGGTCTCCAGGAACAACACAGAAATCTAGCTCTACAATGAATTATAAAAAAACAAAGAGAAAGATAAAAAGAGCAGTTCTTATCTGCTAGTTTCACACTGGGCCTCTGCATGGCCAGATGCTTGGGAGCATCCTCCTTGCAGTGGTGCACTCTTCCACAGTCCTTCTCTTCATCTTTTGTCTGAGCTGTTCTCTGTTTCAGGAGTGCTTTGCTTAGCTCTGTCTGGAAGTCTCTGTCTTGCTTTATTTTCATAAGTTTCCAACTTTCTGAGCTGTAGAAACAAAGCTTGAAACACAACTGTGAAGTCTCGAACATAAAAGCATCATGACATTTTACCGCTTAGTGTAAAAGTTGTTTTTTTTCCTCTTCTCTGCTACTTTCAAAATTGTTTAAAGCTTACAATAGGCATTACTTCAAATTCCACTTAGTTTTGTTCTGTGACCCTCTTCAGTCCGTGCTTGTTTGCCAGAGAGAAGCATTTTCCTGTATCTCAGAACCCTTAGCGCAGGTGAGCAATTTGCCACGCTGCTGGGAGCGGCTCCACTTCTGGAGGCTCTTCATGAGCCTGTTTGAAAAACCATGGCCCTTAGGATGTTCAACAGACTTAGTGTTTCACAAGTTTCTTTCCCCTACAATCTCTCTAAAGGAAAGCTGACTGCTGTGTAAGGTCTGGGTATCTTTAAGAGAACTCCACGAGGATGGTCACCAGTGCAGGTCAGGTGAGCCCTTACTGGTGTCACTGGGCAGCAGCTCCAGCCCATGCTGCTCACTGGGACAGGAACAGCGCCCAGGAGGAAAGTCCCTGAAACAAAAGGCAGCGTGGCTAAACTGGGGCTCTGTCCCCAAAGCTTCTCCAAGGGTCCAAGTTAAGAGAGGAAACCTCTAGCACTGCATGCTTGGGCCCATCACCAGCCCTCCTCCGGGGCTCATGCAGGGAGGGTCAGCAGCGGGGGGGTCCCCTTGTGAGACTTAAAATGGCAGGTTTGGCCATAGGTGTTGGCAGACTGTGGCTGGGACCCTGTGCCTGCAGGGTCCCATGTGGAACGAGTTCGTGTTCTCTGCACACTTGGGTGGCTTGTGGTTGCAGGAGCTTGGAGATGTCCTCTAGAAACACAAATGTTCGGTGGGATGAGGCTTTGAGCAACCTGGTCTAGTGGGAGGTGTCCCTGCCCATGACGGGGGAGTTGGAACTTGACGATCGTTAAGGTCCTTTCCAACTCAAACCGTTCATTCGGCCTCCATAGCGCTCCTTTCCAAGCCACGGGATCACCTGGGGGATGACTCATGGGGTACAAATAGTGGACAGTGGTCTCATTTCATTGCCCGTTTGGAGAGGTGGCCAATTCCTGTCCCCTGCCATCTGATGGCCAAGGAGTCGGTGTCCTGCTCTGCAGTCCCAGCAAACTAGACTTACTCTGGAGGTAATGGCTTGGACTTAAACCTGGCCTGGGCTGGGACTCAGAAGAAGACCCAGGTTAAACTGGGGTTTCTTCAGAGAAAGCAAACCTCATTATCAGCCTGGAAAGGAGAGGTTAATTAGCCAAGAGAGGAGCAGAGGCATGAGCGATGGCAGATGTCCTAGGTGCAGATGTCCTCAAATTCTGTTGTGACTATACAGGCTGTTGCTGCATGTGACATATTGTTATTTCTAAACTAAAAACTTCTCTCAAGTTTGGTTTCATGCTGTTCACAACCACGCTTTTTTTTCCCCGAAGAACCATCACAGTTTTTGGAAAACTCCAAACATCTGTCCCACATTTCCCTCTGTTGTGACTATACAGGCTGTTGCTGCATGTGACATATTGTTATTTCTAAATTAAAAACTTCTCTCAAGTTTGGTTTCATGCTGTTCCCAACCACTCTTTTTTTTCCCCGAAGAACCATCACAGGTTTTCCAAACATCTGTCCCGCATTTCCCTAAGAAGATAACTAATGCCCTTGTCACTCAGACAGCCCAGACACTTCGGCTTGTGCCAGACAGGACATTTTTGGTTAACTGTTGCACGCCCAAGGTGTAGTGCTGCTGACCTGCTGGTGGAGCTGAACATCTCTCTGTCCTTCTTTTCACAGCTGGGGTACCCAAGGAGACTTCACAACAACACACGCGCTTCCTGCAGTGAAGGTGAAGCTGTTCACGGAGAGCACGGGAGTGCTGGCTCTGGAGGACAAAGAGCTGGGGAGGGTAAGGAGATTTTGAATTTAATAATGTTTCCTTCTGGCCCTGCTTTTCTAGAGAAATCTCTCCTGTATGGAAAAATCTTTGGAGCACAACATGCTCTGCTTTTTTGCCAAGCTTCATCAGAGGGAAAAAAAAAAAGCAAGCTCTCCACTGCTGGAAAGGAGTGCATCTCGCATGCTGTCTTTGTTGGGAGTTTTTAATGGCAGCGTTTCAGCTGGCTGTGCTCGCACTCCGCAAAGGCAGAGGATCTTGTGTCTGATATTGGCAGTCCGGAAAGCCTTAGAAGTTGCTTACGGAAATGGACGTTCCTGAGGCAGAAAAGAGGATTGTACTGAAGCAAAAAGAGAGGATTTCAGTTTGGCAAGAGAGTGTTAAGCTGCTCTCGTATCTGCTGAGCAGCCGGTGCACGGTTTGAGCTGTTGAAAGCGCTGACTGCGGTACTCGCTGCAAAGGGCTGGAAATCCTGGCTCCCCCGGGGATTGCGGCTGAACTGGTGGCTTTGGTGGGGCTGGACTGGGGGGTGAAATGTGGGGGTTCACCATCAATGGTATTAATAGCAAAAAGCTCAGGTTCCTGGGGTACTGGCCACAGAGCCGACCATCCCACCTCATCTCTGCTCCTCACCTGCTGTCCCCAAACCAGTGCCCTGGGACTGGTGGCCCTCCATCGCTGCAGCCCACAGCTCCAGATTCTCTGCAGACCACCCATTTCTGTGGCTTTGGGACACTGCAGTTAGTCTCCATGGATTTTTTGCAGCTGTATATTTTATGTTGGCATAAGTGGCAGGAAACTCCCTGCCATCCCTTCCTCAGCTATTCAGGGGTGTGAGAACGGCATGGTGGAGACCCCATAATAACCAGTTCATGGGAAGAGAGGCTTCATGGGCTTCACTGTGGCCTGAGCGATCTCCAGGAGGAGCCTGGGCTCTGCCTGCCTGGCTCTGCAACACACCTTGCTCTCTGCCTTGTCCACATGGCCGTTGCCAAGAGAGCCACTGGTCCTGTGGCAAGCCCGAGCACCGTATTTCCAGTTATGGACTAACCTGTTGCTGGGATGTTTCTTGCTAACCTCACGGCTGTTTGTGCCTGGACGCAGGAGATTCTGTGTCTGTAAAACAAAATTTTTTTGAATTAATGTAGTTTTGTATTCATCCTGTTCATAAAAGTTTGAAATATTTTTCCAGGTCCTAGTGAGCTGTTGGTCTAGTTTATGTCTTTATGGTGGAGAGTTCTGCATGTGATTTAGTTTCATAATAATTTATGTTCATTTTAACTATTTGTATTTTCGTGTTCATGTAACATCCTTTGTTCTTGTATGTGAGAGAGGGAAAAGCGAAGTTACCCCTTCTTTTCACCTCTCAATCTTCTCTTTAAACAGAGTCACAGCCCCTTCAGACTTTCCTTGTCCACACCTTGATCCTTCCTTTCTCCCTGTCCTCCTCCTTTTCTCAAAGAGAGGGTGACCCTACCAGGCTGCACTACTCCAGCCAAAGACTTTACAGCTGCTTTTTCACACAGCATCATAATATTTTCAGGATTGTTTTCAAGACCTCGTTCTTCAAACAGCCCAGCCCTCCTGCCTTTATCCACTGCAGAGCTTTTCACCCAGCCGGCCGCGGTGCCATTCAGGGCTTTTTCCCCCGAGTGGTTACCCCCGGTGTAGACCCGCTTGCTTTGTAAGGCTTGTTTCCAGTGGCAGCCATGAGTAGTGCTGACTTCGCTGGTCTTGGGAAGCAATTAGTTGTGCATGTTGTTCTGAGAAAGACATCAGGCCTCAAAGCAACCCCTCTTGCCCTGAAATGCTGATGAGCCAGCCCCACCGATGCACTTTAATTCCCGGTCCAGCGAGAATCCATCCCTTGGCTCTGAGCTTCTGTGGTCCCAAGGACGTGGGCCAGCAGTGGTGAGCACAAGGAACCAGGCGGTGATTTCCCCTGGCCCGTGGCCACCAGCGCTTTCAGCCAGCCGAACTTCAAAGGGATGTTTGATGTGCCCAGAGCGGCCGGGAGATGACGCGTGTCTGCTCAGGCTGCATCGGGATTCCTTTTTTAATGAAATAATGGAACCAGGAGTGTGTTAAGCCCCTGGTTTAGCTATTGGAATGGGCACAAACCTGTCTGTATGGAGAGAGGAGGGAAGCAGGTTTTATCCACAAAAACAGCCCTGCTCAGCTGCCCTTTGAGAAGCGGCTTTGTGCTCTGCCAGGCATGTACAATGCTCACTTTCTATTGCGAGTGCTCCATTGGCAACTGGCCGGCACTCCTCATTTCACCACTTTTATCAAAGGGAGAGCTGGAAAATGCTCCCAAGCCCTAAACTGCTGGCTGGGCAGCTGAAGGCATGGGAATACATCCTGGCCCTATTGAAGGCAGTGGCAAGGCTCCCGCGGATCTCAGCCGTGCCAAGGCTTCATCCACTGAGAACAAGGAGGGGAAGAGCCATGAATTACAACAACACTGAGCAAAGTTTATGCGCCTTTTGATGAAAAAGAGTTAGAAATCAAAGTACAGAGCATCCCAAACACCCCGAGTGGCTGCTGCCTCGCTGAGAAATGCGGTTTAGTGCAAGTCTATGTGCTTGCGTGACCTGCATTGCAGTGGGGGTCCTTGGATGCTGCTCAGAGTTTGCGCCCATCCGTGTTTCTGTCAACACCCCACGTGGAGGACTCACTTGTTATCTTCAGGATGAGCTTAAATGTGTTTTTTTCCAAAAGCAATACACTAGAGACCGGTGTTGCTCAGTTATCTATGTAACTAATAACAGCTTCAGATTCCTGGCAGAGAAAGCATTAGTCTAATTCAATAACAGTGGTGATAAATAATGGTGATGAATAAGGGTGAAGTCAAGAATCTACTGATGTTAACCTCAGTCTTTGGAGGAGGCAATAAAATCATTTTTAAAATCATTCATCAGAGGGTAATAGTGTCAAGGATATTTTGGTGGAAAACAGCCCCTAGGTTATTGCCTCAGCAGCCAAGTTGAAGAGGGGAGGAATACAAGATTGTAGTCTGGGCTGCAGCACGGACTAAGCATGAGTGGGGAATGATATAAAGGAGATTTATCTCACTACAGGACAGTGGAGACATGAATTAATTTGTGCCAGTCAAAAAGTCACCTCAGGGAGCTGCTCTGCTCTGTAAAGGCCCATGGGTGAGTGGGAAAAGCACAGCTATGATCAGGAAAGATTACTCACCTCTTGGAGCCTTTCGGTTTCTTTGATGAGCTAAGCACATCAGTTGGTGTTCATCTGTGCAGCTCCGCTGTGGTCACTGGTGCTGCACTGATTTACCCCAGCTGGAGACCGTCCCATCGCTTCCTCGCTGCGTGAAATGGAAGCAGAGAGTCCCACAGCCACTGGTGTCACGCGTGGGATGCAGGTTGTGTCTGCTCTCACAGTGCAGACACACCAGCCTATCCAAAACCTTGCCTACTGCATCCAGGCTTAACAGTAAGCAAAAAATAAAACCAGCTCCTCCACAACCTGAGAGTAGCAATAGATGAACCATGTAGGTGGAGCTTCTGAGCCCTCGAAACAGCTCACCTCGCATGGGAAATGTCAGGATGGCTGGACATTGACTGAGTTGTGTGAGGCTGAAAGTAGGGGATTGCAGTGGGCAGCCTCAGCAAACACTTGTTGCTGGTTTGCTAATCACAGCAGTTCACCATCGCATCTAGAGGGATTTACCTGGCCAGTTGGAAGTTCATTTATCATGGTCTTGCCTTAAACAATGGGAACTGATAATACCGTTCTGTTCTGCACAACTGCATGAACAATGGCACAATAGATAGAGGAGCCAAAAAATATATGAACTAATCTCAAAATAATACGCTGTTCTTTAAAAAGGCAACAAAAAGCCATCCTCACAGCCATGAATAGACATTTCCAGGCTGACTTCTAAGAGAAAAGTAGCTTGTCTGATGTGCTTTTGTTGGCCATTAAAACCCATTTTGTGAATAGTGTTTCCCTTTAACATTGTTGATTTTGGCGCTTGCAGGTTGTTCTCCACCCTACTCCCAATAGCCCAAAGCAATCAGAGTGGCACAAAATGACTGTTTCCAAAAACTGCCCGGATCAAGACCTGAAGATCAAGCTTGCTGTGCGAATGGATAAGCCTCAAAACATGAAGCACTCTGGGTAAAGCTTGTCTCAATCTGAATTCAATTTGTTTTTAATGTGCCTTAGAAAAATTCTCATTTAAGATTCTGAGAGAGAAACTCTTCTTCTCAAGTTCACAGGAGGTCAAAACAAAGATAAATATAAAAATGGCATTAGTTCAGTCAATTATAGTGCACTTTCCATATTCTTAGCATGGTCTTTCTAATGCATGTCAGCCAAACAGTTTAAATTTTAAACAGTGTTCCTCAGGAAATTCCTAGGTTATTTTTTTTGTAAGGAAATAAGAGGTGAACTGCCGGACTCTCTTACTGAGAATGGTATAATTTCCAAAGTTATTCTGTATTTCCCTGTATTGACTTCCTGCAACCAAAAACGCAGTGCGCCTTCCACTTGAAATAAATGCCAGTGTGATCATCATTATTTATGCAGAGAGACACAGCACAATTAACTGGTGGTGGCCTGGAGTGGGACTAATGGTCTGGGAGGTTAAAAGGGAAGCCTCTGCCCTCCAGACGTGTCAGAGGATCTGGGGCCAGAGGGATCCCTGGCAGCCTCCCCTGGCTTCCACCTTCCTGCCGTGCAATTCCGCATTCGATCTTCCTTGGGAAGATCTGGATAATGCCATTGCAAGGCTTTCCTCTGTCTGCTCTTCTGAGCTGAGGACGGGATAAAAAAATCGAAATTATCCAGGAAAGTCACTGTTTCGATTAACACTTTCTCTGGTGTGTTTTTGGTGCTATAAAAATGACTTTGTTTCATTTTTGTTTTCATAGTGTTTTGTTAGATTCAATCCATTATTAGCTGGTTTGGATCACTCATCTATTTTTTAGTTCCTTTTCCTCCTGTCTTCTCTGCTAATGAGATCAGAGCTAATAGCCACATGGGAAGTTTAATTTTTCCACCACAATCACAGGCACGAAAAGCAAGACAGGGCAGTTCCCCGGTCGTATTTGTTTCCTGACCACAGCGGATAGAACAGGGCTGAGCAATTCCGGCTTTTCTCAGGCTGTCTTCCACTAACATTTGATTTACAAGGTGCTGCTTACGATGTGGTTCATAATGCTAGCTTGCTATCACGACTGAGATTGTCTTTCTGTTGATGTTAGCGGCAATAGCAAAAAATACAATTTCCGTGCTCTTGAACTAGCCAAGGACTCAGTGCCCACATTAGCATGACTTGGGGTTTTGTAGCTTAAACGTTCACCAAGAGCATGTTGGATCTCTTCTGGCATAAGGAACCACTGGCATAACCAAAAAGGATTTTTTTTCTATGTATTGAGCCAGAACTAAAGTGATGATAATGATACATAAAACATATTCATGCTGAATGTCCTTGCATTTATTATTAGTCTGGTGCTGCCACTATTTTTACCAGTGTTTGTATTACAGTGTCACAGCTGCTCCTTCATCACAGAGATTACATGCTAATTTTGAAATTAATTTTAAAAGTTAATTCTTCCTTTGTAGAAAACAATAAATTCACTCTTCCTTAGAAATGATTCCGTTTTCTGGAATGTCTGTAGCCAAACAATTTCTAGGAATTCATCTTAAACTGTTCAGCAAAGCGACCTGTTTTAGTCAGTTCAGTGTATATGGGATCCAAGGGACTGGTTTTGATGTAGTAAGTATCCCCTGTTCGACAGCTCCCCTCAGCCAAATGGTTTTGTGAAGGCTTAAAGCAATATTTGGGATTTCTCTCCCTTAATTCTTCCATGGCAAATGTATTCTTCACCCATCCGACCATGTCGTAGCGATTCACTGGCATTAAAGGGCTTCTAAATTCTGAGCAAATTGTGAAGGACACAGAGGAAGAAATAATTAATACTGTGTAACATTAAGACTCTGGGAGCTTTTTATGTCACTTTCTTTACAGGTTATCTTTTCAGGTTAGAAATAAACACATTCATGAATGCTGCTGAGCTTAAGTCTCTTGTACTTACTCCTGCTTGTGCATTAACTTCAGTTTCAAGGTGTAAAGAAAGCATACTGAAAAGCAAGAGAAGAATGTATAGTCACTGGTGTACTGAATTCACCTGTTCTTTTCTCCTAGGTATTTATGGGCCATTGGTAAAAATGTTTGGAAGAGATGGAAGAAACGATTCTTTGTCCTGGTCCAGGTAACAGATTTAACTGGAAGTGATCTTAAATCACAACATGAAATATTTAAGTCTTTCCTCTGGCCATTTTCAGTGCTGTGTAATTGATGCTAAGCTGTGGTTCTGCTTAGGGTGTCTGTTAAATCGTGGATTTATTTGTAAGCATATACATCTTCTCAAAAATATCCCCCTTGCAGACCTCTAGCCATGAGTTTCCTGATGCACATGAATGCTTGGTGAAATGGAGAACCAATTTTAGTGAGGAATTAATGAGATGAGGAGGAGGCTCAGTCTGTCTTGGCTGGAGGTGCTTGGGTGCAAATGTTTCCTTTTGAGCCTCCAGGTAAAATGTGAGGTCCATTGAAATCTACAGAAGTTTCATCACTGTCTGTGTCAGAGTCAGTATATTGTTCTTGACATGTATCTTGCTTTCACATTTGTTACTGCCTCTCATTGTCTACAACTCTCATCAATCATTTTGTGATGTCTTTCTTCCCTTTTCCCTTTTATTCTTTTTTTTTCACTTTCTGCCCTCCCAGTTTCAGTAGACCTGTATATTTGACCTTGCTTAAGGATTTCAAGGAAACAGGCAGGAGATGTCCTCTGTGACCTGAAAGGATCTGACCAGTAGTTGGTGTGTTAAATTGTCCCTCACCTTCCCAAGGGCAGCTGAAACTCCTGCATTGGCCACAGAAGTGTGAGGCCCCAGTTTGAGAAGCTCCATCTTCACATCAACCTGATACGGCCCCAGAGTCCTCACGGGTCCATCTCTCTCCCCTCCTCTCTGGGTTCCCCAGGGTACATTGTCTCCAAGTGCGAGAAATAGAAGCTTTGTGCAGGATCTTGTGATGGAAGCAACACAGCTCTGATGGAACAACACGGGATCCAGCTGAGATCTTGTGCCAGCACAGATCCAAAGTGATCAAGTCAGAGGGTGAAATCCTACTGCCAATCAGGCAGATGGCAGGTCTGCCGCAGAGGGGGCAGGATTTCACCTGTGTGTAAGAACAGAGATGGTGTAAACCAGGTGCACCAGGCTCCACATTTGGGATGGAGCATGCTTGTGTGCTGGCTTTCCTGTGCCGATAAGGGGAGGAGCCCACACAGTCCATCTTCCACCTCACACAGCCAGCTTCTCTGGTCCTAAATCAGCTGGTGTAAACTGATTTGTTTGTTTTGAGTTAATTATTACTCCAACTGTCTCAGTAGGAAGCTTAATTGCATTCCTCGTTTGTCCATCACTGACAGCCTCCATAGCACTAAACTATGCGGCAGATAAGAAAATCCATCCCAGGGAGGTGAAAGGGATTTATGATGTGTGTGACCCTTGTAAACAGGAGCCTATTTGGAGAGAACAGTCGAGTACCTGGTCCAATAACCAAGTATGATCAGCAGCAACAGTTTAAGTGCTTGTTTTGTACTCCCGATGGGGTCAGAAGGGCCACAGAAGTGGGGGAGCTGGTGTAGGGCAGCCATAGGAGATGCCTCTGTCTGCCCAAGCAGCATATTTAGATTTAGGTAAAAGTGATGGGTTTAGGATCTGTGTCATCCATTCCTAGAGGCATCTGGTTTGCAAGTGCACCCTCTGTGCAGGGACTGGCCAGGTCCCTGGTGAGGTCGGGTGCTTGGCACCTGACAGGGGAACCCAGCATCTTGCAGAGCTGTACCGCCAGAGGTAAATCCCAAACTGGCTCCTGAGTAAGGAGCAGCAGAGGCCATAATGAAGGAAGGGTCTTTTGGGAACATCATGCAGTACCCTGTTCTTGGGCAGGGATTGAAGGATTGCTTTTCTCTGTATGTTTCCTTTATTGTCTTCTGAAATGAAGTTAAAGGTACTGTGGCAGTCTGTGATCACCCACAGAGCAACGAGTATTGCTTTTCCCTGAGAGATGATTCATTCCAATTCTGCCAACTTCTCAGACCCTTTTTCCCTGTGAACAGGGATTCTCCAAAGCAGAGAATCCTTTTTCCTAACATAGCTTCTCCCATAAATAAATCTATTGATACTCTTCTCTGCAAGGGTTTGCAGGTTTGGCCATGGATTCCCATGTCTCTGTCGAGGAGCCTTTCTTCTGGCCATTCTCTGTGGCTGCAGTTACTTCTCTAGTTTGCAGTTACTATATATTCTTCAGCTTGCTGTGGAATTCAGAGTTATTCCATGTTTTCTCATGTTACTAGGTCTGTGTTCGTCAGTTGGCATATAAGAGCAGAATTTGGCCAGGAAAGCGATTCATTTGAATAAGATGAGCAGACTTTTGCCCCCAGAGAGTCTCTGTAGCCCACCTCAGAAATTCCAGCTGCCACTGCAGCTTCTCTGTTATGCTACCGTTTGCTCAACATTTGGTGCAATGTAAAGTGTTCTGCCGTACATCAAATATAAACAAGAAACACTCTCTATGCAGTCCCTCAGATGTAGTTTGAGCATATTGAACATGTCAGCAGGCAATAAAGATGGAATAAAAATACTTTGCTGTCCGTATGTTTGTCATTTGCTTTCCATGCAATGCAAAGGATGGGTGTTGATACGAGCAGGGATTGGCAGCAAAGGTGTTGATGTCCAGGATGCTCTGAACTCTGCTAAACCACAGACAGAAAATAGCCCCCGCAGGAAGGTGAGCTGGCTCCAGTACATAAAGAACGGACAAGGAGCAGCCCCTGTTTCAGGAGCTCGCTCGTCTGCAACAGGCTTCTGCTTGCATGAGAGCTGAGAGATGGAGTCCAGAGCATAAAATCCATGTGGGATACAGTGGTCTGGTCAGTCCCTGACACTGCCGAGAGGGCAAGGCTGTACGTTTGGATGGATAACTAAACATTTCCTTTCTGATCCCTTGTCTCTGTCCCTTACCTGGAGCATCTTCTATTGCAGCTCTGTCTCCTCTCCCGCCCCTTGCAGAGTAACCTCCTCCTCCCAGTCCTGTGCCCTCTCCCACCCCCTTTCCCCATTTCAGATGGACACAGCCACAGTTCTTTCAGTGCTGTTGGGTGGTACCGCTCTGCCTTCTGATACCAGTGGTTGAGAAATTTGTGGTAATAAATACTCAAACTCTTCCTAACCATCTCAACAAGGCACAAAGGTGCCAAACTGCATGGGCGGCACCGAGGAGGAAGGTGTTGATGGTAGTTTGTGTCTTTTATGTCAGTGATGCTTTGCCGGTGTGAACGGAGGCTTTGCACATGTCTATAGAAAAAGGAGCTACGCAGGCAGCATCTCCACTGCTGCTTGGCTTGTGTAAGCCCTGGAGAGAAGGGGAAAGGAGCAATAACTGCCATGTAATTTGGGTGGAATAATCCCTCGCACCTTCTGTGTCTGTGTAGCTGCGAGGGCTGTACCCGAGGGGAGATGATTTGTTTGGGTGTAGTGGGTGAGAGCAGCTCCTTTGTGCCGTTTTGAGAACTGGCCCTCACCTCTCCATCACAGACATTGCTGGGTGGACTTGGTTCAACCCCTCGGGGGAGGTTTCCAGCACGGCGCGGCTGGCAGAGCCGCTGCGTATGCTCCTCCAGCATGCACCCATGCCTTAAGAGGGGGTAGTTTTCTCTTTCGAATGAATCGCAGTCCTCTCTGCACGCTGCCCATCCTTCTCGTAGACACCCTTTGAGATGAGCAGCAGAAGAGCAGAATACTGATTAGATGTAAATTACATGGCAGAGACTCGTTACTTGCCTAATTTTAAATCCTGAGATATGCAGCGTGAAAGTGATGGCAGAATATGGCCCTGAGCTTGGATAGAAATGGTCCTTAGCATCACAAGTGAGGAAAATGCTTCGTAAAGGCAACAGTAATGCCAGTGGCAGTGGTAAGAGAAAGCAAAGGAGCAATTTAGGGCAAAGTTCTCTGTGACTGGTTAGGAAAGAAAATGTACATCCATCACAGATGTTATAAGTGTTTCCTAAGTTACTGTATCAGCTGCCTGAGCACAGCATACACATTTCAGCCGGTTTGCCAATTAAACCCTTGATTGTGCAAAAGCTGGGATTTTTGATAGCTGACAGAGCTTATATTAATTCTTTGCAAGGTCTAATGTGCTGTACTGGCAGCAACACTGTTGTTGGTTCTGGTGGGTTTGCTGGCTTTGCTATAGGAAATTTCTTATAAAGATTCTTAAGGGCAAGTGAATTAATTACAATTGAGATTTCAGACTGAATCTGTTCTCCTCTTGTCATAACCCCATTTCTGTGCTCTGGCAGCATATGGGAAGTAACACTCCATGGTACCTGGATGACATGTCTGCTGAGTAGCTTGAAGCAGTTTTCAGCTGATTGTGTCTGATGGTGTTTGCAGAATGTTGTTGGAACCAGATCAACTCTCTGCAGATTAAAACCAGTTGCAGTGTCTACGCCTGGATCTATTGTTCTAGTGACAGACTCCCTGAACTCATTATAATTTAGACTAACAGTGACAGTTCCTGCTTTCAGCAAAACTCAGCTGACTCGGGTTAGAATGAAATGAAGTAAGTGTTCAGTAACTCTGAATAACCAAATTTGAAAATAATTCATCAAAATTGCGGTATCGTACCCCAGCAGTCCTAGACTGTGGTCCTCAAGTCAAGGTAAATGACCCGTAGCTGGTCCCCGTAATCATATTAAATCATGTTTTCAGTTAGACCCTCACTGAGAACTCTGCATTCGTGGTGATTTTTGAGAAACCTTACGTGTTGATGATAAATAAAAAATTTTGGGGAACTGTTGGTTAAACAGGTGCCTGCATGTCCCGCCCGTCCTCCTGTGGGATGGCTTCCCAGCACCCAGCCCTGCCCGAGGAGAACACACACACACCTTCTGCTTGAAGGAAGAAGTTAGGACAAATGCTCTGTGCAATTGTTTAGGGCTGGATGGATGTGCTGAGATGTGAAAACTGTTGTTTTCACATTTTTTTCTTTAAGCTAGATCATTTCCTCTGCTCATTTGTGTCAGGAAAGGGTTCGAGAGGCAACATCCAGCTGCAACCAGAGGACAAGAATCTCCCGTCAAAGTGGAAAGCTGTATTACAGCTGGCAGTATCTTAGCACAGTTTCTCTCCCTTGGGACAAAATGCATGCTGTTAATCTAGGAAAGGTCCATTTAAGAATTTAACCCAAGTGGGGCGGTGTTATGTCAACAGTGAGCAGGGGGGAGGCAAGTGACTGAGCTCAGAGTGTGAGGGACGACAATTAACAGGTTTGAGCAGGGTCCTGGGGAAAGCAGTGCTCACTAGAGCAGGAGTCTCTGGTGGAAAAACAAGGACAAAGTCAGGACTGGTTAATACATATCTACTGTATTTATTAATCAGACGGATTATATAGCTGGTGACAGAGTATGGTTGAGTGCCAAGAAAGTCAGATCTAATTTAGCAGCCTGGGAATAGTGAACTTTGGCATTTATCTCCTGCTGTCTGCTTCCCCTTCCCTGAATTTATTTGTCTTTTTCTCTTTTTTCCCCACTTTCTTTTCCTTCTGTTTTTTGTCTCAAATTATTTCTCAAAGTGTTTTCCTTTTTTGTAATGAATCATCCAGAGCAGCCTTGGATTACTTCCCTTCTTTTAGTTTCGCTCAGTTCAGCTTCCTTAGATGCTCCTTTTCCTGGCCCTCATCGAGTCCCTGGATGAAATCCCAGCTGCTTTGAGAGTTTGTCCCTCACTGGGTAGAATTTTCTCCTCTGTCTTCCTTCAGTTTCCTCTCTGTATCTGTGTTTTTTCCAATTACTCAGACCATTCATCTTGCCCATCCCATCTGCTCGCTCGCTCTCATACTCAGCGATGGTTTGGTGTGAACTCAGCAGGCTGTAAGATTAATTTCTGCTTTTAACTGTTTCACTCGTCTCGCCACTTCTAAGCTTCTACAGAAAGCAAGCTCTGTAAGGCACAATATTTTAGGGAACTGATGAAAAGCAAGCTGCAATCTCCAGTTGACCCTACAGTGCTGTTCAGCAGTAAAGCACAATCGTGACATATCTAGAGTCTCGTTTTGTCAGGTTTTGCTTTACCACCACTCATAAATGGAAGGAGACACATTGCACTGGTAGCCAGGGCATCAGCTTCTTTCTGACCCCAAGCAGTAAATGCTTTAGGTGGCAGGATAGGACAGATGGGCGATATGACAGTCCTTGGAGTCAGTAGCTCAAGTTGTTTAGGTGCAGGCACTCTGTGTGGCACCATTGGCACCTTTTCCAGGGGCCATCAATAGCTGTCTCCTCCCTCCTGCCTGACCCTAGCTTGCCTCCTGCCAACAGGGTCTTGGGCAATCCTGAGCTTGGGCTTCGGACTTGAGCTCGTGAGAAGAGAAGTAGGATGTGAAATTAGATTAGTGCCACATAGAACCACTGAATCACTGAATGGTTTGGGTTGGAAGGGCCCTTAAAGATCATCTGGTTCCAACCCCCTGCCATGGGCAGGGACACCTCCACTAGCCCAGGTTGCTCAAAGCCTCATCCAGCCTGGCCTTGAACCCCTCCAGGGATGGGGCATCCACAGCTTCCCTAAGCAACGTGTGCCACTGCCTCACCACCTTCATAGGAAAAAACTTGCTAATATCTAATCTAAATCTACCCTCATACAGCTTAAAGCCATTGGCTCTTGTCCTATCACACCACCCTGTGATCAAGAGTCCCTCCCCATCTCTCCTGTAGCCCCCTTTCAGCACTGGAAGCTGCTATAAGGTCCCCTGCCCAGAGCCTTCTGTTCTCCAGGCTGAACAACCCCAACTCTCTCAGCCTGTCCTCATACGGGAGGTGCTCCAGCCTCTGACCATCTTTGTGGCCTCCTCTGGACTCGCTCCAACAGGTCCATGTCCTTCTTATGTTGGAGCCCCCAGAGCTGGCTGCAGCACTGCGGGTGGGGTCTCACAAGTGCAGAGCAGAGGGGGAGAATCCCCTCTCTTGACCTGCTGGTCACACTTGTTTTGATGCAGCCCAGGACACAGTTGGCTTTCTGGGCTGCAGAAAGCTTCTCATCAACCAACAACCCCAAATCCTTCTCTTCAGGGCTGCCCATCACACATTGCGGACCCACCTGTAGGCTTCTCTTAGAGGTCTCTTCTAATACTGATGTAGAACAGCTTCTTCCAAGGAAATAATGTGAGTGCTAACAGGAGAGACTGGTTTGCTTTGCCTCTGTCCCAGGATGGCTCCACCAGAGCCTACTGTCTCTGTCTGTCTTTTATAATTTTTAGCGCCAGAGGTGTAAGCTCTGAAATGCCTGTGTGTGTTTCCATACACTACTGTTGTGTTGATATGGTCAGATTATTGATAGGGATGAAGAATATTTTCTGAGTCCAAAGGTAAGAGGAATTATTTGTACACGAAGAAGAACCTGAGGGTCACACCTCATGTTCAGGGTCAGAGCAGAAGAAACTCAACTACTGAATTAATTTTACCTGTTGCTACAGAGAGTACACGAGAGGAAAAAACCATTAGCTGTATTAATGTTTTCAATCAATGTGAGCGTAGTTTAGCACTGACTCATTTCAGGAATTAAATTTGTCATGCAATCCCTGAAGTTTAGTCTGTCTAACACAGGGAAACCAAATCCTCACCGCTCAGATGAAATCTCCAGGATCTCGCGGTAAATAAAGCACATTCAAGCGCTTCTCCAGGAGATGGCAGCAATATACTGCAAGTACCACTGAATGAACGCTGCAGGAGTCGGCTGAACGTTGAGCTGTGGGGCACTAGGTTATTTTTAGGTTTCTTCGTGTTAATCTTTTTAATTTTTGTGTTGCCGGTACGATGGTATGCATTCAAAGTTCATAGCACAGAATATGCACTGGTGTGCTCCTGCTATTGGTCTGTTACTTGTCAATCTTTCGTCAGCGCTGGTAGTTTTAAGGAGGATGCAAGATGCTTAAAGCATCACTTTTAGTCTTTACTCCCACAAATGTGTTAATGATAGGGTTTATTCTTAGGTGGCTTTTGGAGCTGTTCCTGGAGGAAGGCACGGTGCAGGCAGGGCTGCTGAGAGCAGGCTGACAGCGAGCAGAAGCCCGTAGAGGGCAGCAATATACCAAACTCTGGCTGGGAGATGCTACGCCAATAGACAGGTCCCCTGACTCAAATAAATGACATTTTATTAGCAATAGATGCCACCAAAGTAGGTGCTGCTTGTGTATTTGTAGCCTAGCAATTTTTATGGATTTTGAAGGGGAAAACCCCCAGCTCAGCCACTCACCCATCTTTCAGGATCTCTCCTGACTTCCAAAAAATGACGAGCACGATCCATTGCCACCCACCAGAGTTTTAAAGTTTCCTCCAGAGGTCAAGAAAATGTCCAGATGAATAAAATTACGTCAGGCATCCAGGATGTGACACAACCTTAACAAAGTCATTTGAAATCATTTGACAGTAAATTTCCCCGTGAGTTCCTAGCCTGGGGCACGGAGAATCCTCTCCTCCTTGGATGAGCTTCTCGCCGACCATCCAGATTGCAGCACGCTGGGTACGCGCGGGGTCTTGATGCAGCCTGATGGCCTCCTAAAGGCGATTCGGGAGCCTGGCAGAGCCCCCGCAGCTGAGTCGGCTTCCGTCAAGAGCTTGACATTGAATGTATCGTGTCATGCAGATGGTACCTCAGAGGAGTGAGAGCTGCCATTTACAGCACTGATGACAACAACTGCCGAGATCAGTGGGATCTTAAGATTGCTTTAATATGACTGGCACCTAGCAATTTAGCTCACATTGTTTGTGACAGGGTGTCACTCTTGCACTTGTCTGGGGATGAATGATAGAGGGTTTCTAAAGTGTGGAGGTTCCTCTTTCGGAGGAAATTAAGCCGCTGTATGTACTGATGCGGAGAATTAGACGCCTGCCGCAGCAGGGTGCGTTAAGAGAGAGAGCTGTGCAAAAGCCTGGTAAAAAGTTTAGTCTGTCTTGTATGGGCAATGACCATCAGAATTACCCCACCGCCCCCCAGTCCCTGTAAAGATGCCATCAGCGTGCAGTGTTGATAAGCGCTTTGGATTGCCTTGTCGTGATCACCCGGTGCCATCTTAGCTTTGTGATTTTCTTCAGGTTAGTCAATATACATTTGCTATGTGCAGCTACCGGGAGAAAAAAGCTGAACCTCAAGAGCTGCTGCAGCTCGACGGATACACTGTGGACTACACCGACCCGCAGCCAGGTACGGGGGCCGACGGCTTGCTGCTGCACCCGCAGGTGCTCATGCTTGCCACGCTGCCGATGACTCGCTCTCTGCCTGCTTGCAGCTGAACTGTGATCAGCATTATCATAAATATGTTTGTGTTTATGCTGATCATTAGCTATGCATGACTTTACTATAAATAGAACGAAGGAATTGAGCTCGGAGTTGCACCAGAGGAGGGAAAGGCTCATCTTCTCTGGGCAGCCTAAGTGAATGAGATGCTTAAATCCCAGTGAAACTTGATTGTGAACTGAATGCTCCAGTCGGGTGATGACCCTGACCTGTGCCTTCAGATTATATTCCCTAAATAAAAGGTTAGCAGCTATGCCTATCTTTATTGTAGAAAATATTTATGGGACCAACCTAGCATTTTTGCCTGCCCCATTTTCTCTCTGATGGATGTGAGTGGAAGGGACAGGGGCAGAAAGCCCCCTGGTACCTGGAGGTACCTGTTGTGTGCCTGGTGCTGAGACCTTTCTTCAAGTAGAGGAGCACCACATTTCTTTTATTTCGGTGGAGTGACACACTGAGTATGGTGATCTTCACCATGCCCTGCATAATGGGATCCCCAGAGGAGATGAAGGAAGACACAGCAGGTTGGTTGTCAAGACCTTGATTCCAGGTTACTTCTAACGTTAGGGAGATGGGAAGATGGGTGCTGAATCAGGGCAGAGATGGAAATAAGCACATCACCCAAGCCCCTTTGTTCTGGGTGAGCGGTGGTGCGCTCGCTCTAATGGGAAACATCCCACCGCATCCCCTCAAAAACCATTTTTAACGGGGCTCCAGCAGTACAGCCCACATGGGACCTGCGCAGGTGGGGCTGTAGGTGAGAGAAGCAGTTGATCCAAGTGTTCTGGGCATGTTTTGGTAATTGCAGTGTGGGGTGCTACCTGGGGACCTGGTGAGCTCTCTTGCAGGCGAGTTTGATGCCGAGGAGGGGACTGAGCTCAGCCAGGGGCAGCGTGAGGCTGGCTGGGGGGACACCCAGGGCGGTGGTGGGGTGGGAAGTTGGGGGAGAACCCCTGGTTGGCCTCAAAGTCTGTGAAACCCCACTGTTGCTTCCTCTCCTGCCAGGTTTGGAGGGCGGCAGAGCATTCTTCAACGCGGTGAAGGAAGGAGACACGGTGATTTTTGCAAGTGACGATGAGCAGGACCGTATCCTGTGGGTCCAAGCCATGTACCGAGCCACCGGCCAGTCACACAAACCTGTGCCGCCTACCCAAGTGCAAAAGCTAAATGCTAAAGGAGGAAATGTACCCCAGCTAGATGCCCCAATCTCTCAATTTTGTAAGTAAATAAGTTCTCCTAGAGAGCAGAAGTCTTTGATGGAAAGATTTTCTGCACTGATGTAAATCAACATTTGCACACGTTTCTGACTCCAAAATGAAATTTTTTTCATTATCATTAAGCTGCTTTTTTACATCAGTGGATCCAGAAGCAGTTAACCTGTGTGTTTAGCACAACCAAACCCAAGAAACAAAATTCCTTGGGGAACTTGTCGATGAGTATTTTAAAGTGCAATACTTGATGGAGGAGAAACTGGGATCTGAGAGCCTGAGACTGAGCTTGCTTTCTGCAGACATGCGTTTTACCTCCACACAATGAGCTGCACACCCAGATCAGAGCGATTCATTAGCACCATTAGCTGTCTATCAAATGCGTCACGTGCTCAGAACTACAGGTGCAAATCTTGCAAGTACGAAATGCACACACAAAAAGAGGTCTCCTGTTGAATATTCAACTGTACGAAAACATATGGTATTTTTAACAGGTTGCTTTGCAGGCCAGTTAGATGTGAATTTAAAGCAGTCATCTTTTAAGTTGTAGCTGTGCTGCATGTCCTGTGCAGTTATACCCAGTTTGCTTAATTTGAAATTTAGAGCCATTTCTTTTGTCTTGCAAATGTAATTTGATTATAAACCAGACAAATACCTCCTCACTCATTTTTCTTCAAGGTCTTGATCACATGTCTGGAGCCCCTTTGTTGTGTAACATACAGCAGTTCTTGATAATTTCAGCAAAATTTAAGAATTAGTATCATTAACTATAAGTAAAATAAGGAAAAGTGGTAAATATTAGCAAATTCTTCTAATTAAATCAGATTTAAACATTTAAAATAGTCTCTGTAAAGCTGTTACAGAGTATTTTGTTGTAAGGAACTCAGAGAATCTGTCCCTTACTTATCAATATAATTTTACTATCACTTATATTGGTTTAGCTTCTTCATGTCAGTATTTATAGAAAATAACAATGCAAGACATACAGCTGGATGATCAATGTTACAGCAGAAAACCTCTGCTTGCTGCTTTTCTTTTTTTTTGTACCCTCCACATGCCCACATGTTTTGGACTCCCTTCTGCCTTGCATTGCTGCTGCTGCGAGTGGGACGTAGCGTGATGCAGCCTGGTAAACCCAGAGTCAGTGTTTTCATTTCAGTGACCCTCATCCTCTTCATCCCAGTCAGGTCACTGACTTTGGGGGTGCAAGGTGTAAAAGACTGGGATCTTTTCTCCCATCCCTCCAGATATCAGGCCTGGAGAATTTTTCTGCTGGGTAAATTCCTGATGTTTATGGAGGTTTCACTTTGCCAGACTAGTATGTGAGGTCAGGTGAAGGGTGCTTTACCCAGACACATCGTAACTGCCTGGCATCAGCTGTAGCAAAGTCTGCCAGGAGTTTGGGGAGGGAAAGGGGATGCCAGGGGCCAGTGGACCTTTGGGTGTGTTGTCCCTGTGCACAGCCAAGCACTGTGCATGGGGCGAGCTGAACCCCCTGCTCAGGTTACCTGGGATGGAGAAGGGACAGCTGGCTTGTCCTGGTCCTTGCCAGGGAGCGGTGGAGTTGGTGACTGAGCTGAGGAGTCCTCTCTGCATCTAACCACAGCCCAGCACGTCCACCAGAGACTTGAGCTGCTCATGGTCCAGCAGACCCCTGTCAGCCCGGCTGTGCTCAGAGCTAGGGCAATGCCGCAGGTTTGACCATGCTTTCTCCATCTCACTTGCCTGCCAGGAGACAGGGATCCCTCATCCTCATTTTTGGTGAAAAAAGCCGAGATTTCACCCCCGGGTCCCAGCAGGCATCTGAGGGGGTCAATCTGACCTCAGCTTCTCTCACTTGTTCTCAAGCTGCTCCCAGCTCCGAATCTGGACCACCACCCTCTTTCCGTCGTGTCTTCCCCATAAACTGGGTGGCTTCAGGCTCCCCTTTTTGCTGCAGGCACTGGGAAACCCTCTTGGCTGTGTTGAGCTGAAGCGTGAAAGGGGGACACAAGTCAGCTCCTCAGTCTGACGATGACTTGCTACTTCAGCATCCTCTGGGCTAGGCAAATAGTGCATTTTGTCCTCAGTCTTCCTTCCTCCTCTTCCCTTGGATCTGCGTCCCTCTGGAAGCTCTTTGTGCACAGGACCTTCATCCTACAAGAGGAGGAGGGGAGCACACCCTAATAAGCCTTCATCTCAACAGGAAGAGCTACTCGTTTGTCATATTTCAACATTTGTACATGGCAATGCTCATTGCAAAAGTCATTGGGTGCAGCAGTTAAATAATCAGAAGCAGAAGCGAGTCATGCGTGCCGCATGATGGCTTGTTGGGAGTCTTAAACACACAAATACAGATCTATCTCAGCTCCTTCAGCCTTGAAATTCAAACATATCAAGTATTGCATTTTTAAAAGGGTCTTGGTTTGTTATTGGGTTTTTTTGGCTTGGGTTTTTTTGGTTTTGTTTTGTTTTTTTTATTTATTTGCCTGCACAAAGGTAAGGACTTTTGCAAGACATTTTGTACGTTTATCTTTATACCTGTCATATTTTTTGTGCTTATTAGAGGCTGTGGTAAATGAGGATGTGCAAAGAAGTAAATGTTAAGCCGTTTGATGAGTAACTGTTGTTAGAGCTTTCATGTCGTAGCAGTCCGAAATGGCACATGCGCATGCATGCACATGCAGAGAAAATCCAGCCCTCCGCCCCTGTGGTGGAGCTGTCTGTTAAACAGAAACTTGAGAAGAACATATTTTGCTGTTGGAGAAACTTGGGAGAAATAGTGAATCACTTAGTTCCCACCTCTTTTGACTTTGTAACTAACAAACTTCAAGCAGCACTCAAATTCTCATCCGTAGTTCAACAACAGCACTTGACTTGTAAGTAAACAGACAGCTCCAAACCAGGGTGGAGTTTATTTTATTTGCAGTTTAAGTACTGAAAAAAATAGATCCTGCTATTCATTAATTTTTGTATGACTCTGCAATCCGTTTTATGTGGATGAGCAGTACCTGTTAGAGTGAAAAGTTTTGCTCTTTTTATTTTGCTACAATTTAAAAGAAAAACTCCATTCACGCAAAGCTGTGCTTTTCTCCAGTGTTCGCATTATAAAAGAAAAAAAACCCAAAACTGTTCTTGTTTACTGTGAAATCATGCACAGTATTACAGTCGATAATGCTGCCAATACTTATTACACCTTTTGGCAATATTTAAGCTTCATAAAAGTGGTCACTTGTCTGAAAGCACCAATCTTTGTTCGTTCTGTGTTAGTGATGCATCAAGCAAAATTCCCAAACATGCTCAACATTCATTTTTTTTAAAACCCTTTTCTTTTCAACATGAAAGATTGGTCCGTACTTGTTTTACGTATCACTTGTGGTTATATTTCATTTTTTAATGTCTGTTTATATTTAATGACTGTTAATCACATCATATACAAAGAGATGGTTGTTTTGAGAATTTGGAATGATTTGTTCCCCCGTAATCAGTAGCAAGGTTTATTGAGCTGCTTAAGAAATTTTCAGCTGTAAGTGGGTTTTTTTGGTTGGTTTGATTTTCTTTAATTTTCTTTTTCATTCTTTGCTTGAACCCAAATATTTAGCTGCTAGGTTAGGGCTCCTGTCTGCTTTCCTGAGCCTTGTTGCTAGTCTTTATGTTATTCTGGTTTGTTCCTTCTTACCCTGCTAACTTCTAGCTGGACTCAAGGGTAAGTGCTTCCCTGTAGCTAGCACAGCTCAGATAATCAGACTAGATTATCTGACATATGCAATGTGCTTTTTTTTTTTCTCTTGAATCTTTCTCATGTTTAGATTTTGTAGTACAAACTTTCCATGTTATTTTCCTGAATTGAGGTTTGAAATGTAAGTTTCCATACTGAAATTAGGATGCATGTGATGTTTGCATAATTGCCTTCTCTCCCTGGCTTTCACATTGGCATCAAGTGATCCTCTTAGTAAAGCCAACCATTAACATTTCTATTTTTCATTCCAAGATGTAAATATCAATTAACATCACAATAAAACTGTCAATAATACCTTCTTTTGTTTCATGGAATTTACATCTAGTTGACTGCTTCCTGCCTGAAAACAGATCATTTTGCACTCTGACGATTTCCTTTCTCTCCATGCCGATGATTAGCTTGGTGCAGCGCACCGGCGTGCGGGGCCAACCGTGGACACCTCTAAGCATAGAACGGTAGGGCAGGAGACCCTGAGAGACCTAGACGAGGTGCAGGACTCCACAGGAGACCCCCCCAAAAAACCCCTTCACACATGCCGTGTGAAAACTAACCTGAGTCATCGAGGTTTGGTAGTTCCCTCTCCCATAAACTCAGTAGGGGATGATTTCGGCAGCAAGCAGCAGCTCTCTGGGTCACCCCGGGTTTGGAGATGCTGACCCACTCCAATTTAAGTACATTAGTCATGGAGGGGTGCTGCTGTTCCCCCAAATTATCATCAGTTAATGTTTTAGTGTGGGTCTCGATCACCAATCAAAGCAGTGCTTGCCAAAGAATAAGCCAGGGGAAATATTATTTTACCTTTTCCCACTGGAATGCCTACCTTGAAAAAAGATAAAAGCCCAAACTTGTGCTGTAAAAGAGCTTCTCCTTAGCCTTTGTTCAGTCTTAAATACATCCGGTACAAATCCTTTATTGATGTTAAAAGCTGCTTCTCTAATACCTGGTGAGTGCCTGCGTTCCTTAGGAGGGAATAGCATCAGTGGGTCATGAGAGCTGGCAAATATGTATCCAGAGTATCTGAATGCAATTATGAGAAGGAACAGGCGGTGTCATCCCTCCTGGCCATCAAACAAGACTCCTTTTTTTTCTTCTTCCTCTTTTTGTTTCTTTTTTTCTTCTTTTTTTTTTTTTTTTTTCCCCGTGTGTGAGTGTGCGTGTGTGTGTATAAATATACCCCTGGGTAGTAAGCAGAATTCCTTCTCAGCAGACACTTTCTTTTTTCTTTCTCTTTTTTGTTTTCTAAATGTTTGGATTTCCAAAGAGGATTCTTATCAGACTTTACCACAAAACAA